GTTTCCCAGCGATCTCACATTGCCCATCATGATCGATGGAAGAGATGGTTTAAACTGCATTCTTCTCTCTTTCTCCCTCTTCTTTGCTCCTGCTCTGCATCCACGATGCCTCCTTTTCAACTCATTTGGGATTTGAGGATGTAGTTGAGATATTATTTGAGCTTTGGAGATGTTAATCAGCCGCTCCTGGTTGTAAAAAACAACCTTGTTATGGTTACGCATCATAACAAATGTCCAAAAGAAAATATATTTCTGTAAAAATCCTTCCAGCTGCACAGCATCCGACACCAGAGGAAATAATCATCCAAAAAAAGTGATTTATATCCAGAAAAAAGAGGAATTAAAGTTTTCAAAAGTAATATCTCAGAATGAAAGTAACAGAGCTGCTCCAACATGCAGCCACCTTGAGCGGTGCAATTCTAGATTTTTTTATTTTTTTTTATAGGGTCCCAGTTACATCTAACAATAAAATGTAAAAGAAAAACATCAACTAAATATACACTAAGCACTAATAGCATAAAAACATTACGTCAAACAGCAGCACGAACATGAGTCAGTGTGAGCAGATGAGCACGCATGAACACATCAACATGAAACAGATCAGCAGCAACATGATGTGATTCTTTTGTCATTCAACCTTTATTTAGACAGATTAATCCCATTGAGCCACAAGGACTCATTTACAAGAGAGACCTGAAAAGTGTCACAGTGATAAGCTGTTCCTCAGGAGCCATTTACACGGCGCATAGTTTGAGTGAATCCACTCCTTTCTCTCTGCGGTTCTGCTGATCATTTACACGACACCAGTGGCCCCCCTCTTTGAATCCAGAGGTTTCTGAACCCACCTTCCAGAGTGGAGTTTTTTCGCTGACCCCCGCTGATAATGTAAACATCTCCCGCTGAGGCTTTGTGTTAAACCACATGCGCATACGCACGCACGGACAGACGCTATATTTCTATCAACATGGTGGTGGACACACTGCTTTCTGAACTACGACTGATGGAATATATTTATAATCTCATAGTTAATCTACGTTAGATTCCAGGTGCTGTGACCGACATCTGTGTTGGAAGAGACACAGTCTGATCCAGTTCTAATATCACTGTTTATAGAATGAGGCACGTGCACACGTCGCGCTGCACTATAACATACTAAATGTGCTAAATAACAGTTTAATAATAATAAACAGTATTTATCTTAAGTGTGAGAGATATAATGAAGTTCTTTGAGCTAAACAAAGCTATCTGGGCATTATGTAATTCAAATTATGTGATTAAAATTATGCTAAACAAATCTAAAAAAGTTAAACCTGGTCCTCTGGACATTCAAAAAACAAAACAAAGCAAAACAACAACAAAAAAATGTAGAAACGTTTCGTCTCTTATCCGAGAGACTTCCTCAGTCTGAGGTGC